AAAGCTATATATAAAATTATTAATAAAGTATATTAGTTTATATTAAAATATATAATCTATTTTAAATTTATTTTAGAGTGAGTTATATAATTATTATAAAATATCTAACTTTTAATAGATCATATATAATATACTAAAATTTTTCAAGTATAAAAATTATATAATACTAATTATTTATATTTTTTATAAGCTAATAGATTTTATATTTAATATTTTAATTTATCAAACTTTCTATATATAAATATAATAAATTATTATCTTAGAATATGATATTTTAATATTAAGTAATTTAATTTGAGCAAAACTACTATTATTAGATTTATTAAGTTATAATATTTACTAAATTAAAAATTTAATTATTAAAAGTAAATTAATTACTTTTTAAAATGTAATATATTAATATTTAATAATTTAATATTTATAAAAATCTATTATTTGATTTATCTAATTAAAATAAATCAAATAGTAAATTTTTATTAATATTAAATTATTAAATATTAATATATTATATTATAAAGTGACTTATTTACTTTTTTAAAAATTTCTTAAATAAGATACCAGTTTAATTACAGATTTATTATAATAAATTTATAATAAATAATTTAAAATAAATATAACCAATCAAAATTATATATATAATATATAATATATATCTTTATTATCTTCTTTATAAATATGAAAATATTCTTTGAATATTAATTATATTAAATATAATTTTGCTTTCTTTCTAAAATTATCTTTGTATTTTTTTATATTATTATATTTATAAGAAATAATACTTTAATAAGATTTTTATATATTATTTATATAGATACTTTTAATATTAAATTATTTATTTCTTAATATTTAACTTAATTATATTTCTTTAGTTATATTTCTTTCTCAATATTTTTCTTAACTTGATTTATATATTAAAAACTATAACTTTTACTATAATATTAGATTTTTATTTTATTTATATCAAATTTTTATAAATATTATTTTAATATAAATAAATTATTTAAACTTTTTCTTGAAGAATTTAATAAAGAATAGATAATTATTAATAATATTTAGACAAGATTTAATAAAAATAAATTATTAAATAATAATAAATAGAAAAAATTTATATGTAAACTTTTCAAATTATAATAATCAAATAATTGTAAAAATAATATTTTCTCTAAGAAACTTCATATAATTTAAAAGTAATCTTTTATTATTATAAGATAAATACAAAAATAAACTGATTAATTAACTTTATAAAAGTTTATATTAAAAAGTTTAAAAATATATTTAAAGATAACTTCTTAATTATTATAATATAATGATAAATAAGTATCATTTGTTGTAACTACTTGTGACTTATAAATTTTAGAGTTGCAATATATTGTAATAAATAACAAATAAGTATTATATACTTGCTGTATCATCTCTAGATATATCTAATTATAGTTATATTCTTAATATTCTTGATAAAAGTAATATATGAAAATAATTAAAATATATAAAAGATATGATAGTTAATAAAGCTATTAAGAAATATAAGTCTTTAATAATTACTAATACTATCTGAAAAAAAATTATAAAATTACTTAAGTTTTCAGAAGATTACTAATATTAAATTGAAACTTTTAGGTTTAATAAATTTGCATCTCATTAAAGATACTAATTTAAATATAGATATTCAAATATAAATAAATTACTTACTCAAATTATTAAGTTAAATAGTTTATTATTCAAAAATTATTTTATCAAGATTAGTGATGAGAGCCGTAACTAGTTGCAACTCTGTTGCAATTCTCTGATTGGCTGCCGCAACTCTATCACAACTCTCTGATTGGCTGCCACAAGCCACAACTAGTTGAGGAGTCATCTTTAATCAAGATCTTTATTTTGTAAATACTAAGTAATTAAAAAAAACTTATATAATATGAATAACTAAAATTAATTAATTTAATATATAATATAAATAAATATTACTAATATTTATTTATTCTTTATATTTATAATAATTATAATAGTTAAAATATTAGTATATATTTTTATTCAGTAATATAAATAATAAGATAGTTTTAGTAATACTAAAAATTATTAGAAAATTTATTTTTCATTAGAAATTATATTATATATTACTTAATTAAAGTAATATAGAAGTGAATGGTATTGTAATTACTGTTTTTGATCTTTTTATAGGAGAGCAAGTGTATAATATCATTCTTTATATAGTATATATAATGTGAACTTAATGAAAAATATATATTTTGGCCTGATTTTTGATAAAATAATTTGAGTAATATATAAATAACTCAAATTGACTGTGAAAATCTTGTTCAGAATACTATAATTAACTATTCTATATAAGCAAATACAAAATATATTTTCAGAAACTACTTGAGAAATTTGAAAAGTAAACTCTTTAAGTATAATAATATTTATTACTTCTCTTACAAATAACTTTAACTAATATACTTAAATTATTTCATAGTAAATTAAAAATAAAAATATTTATTATACATGGTCTTATTGATAATTATATTTATTTTATTCTTTCATCACTTTATTAGTATATTATTATATTATTATCTTTTCAGAAGCATGTTATATAATTTTCAAAAAGTGATAACAGTAAAAGTAGTCACCATCAATTTTTGATCAAAAATAATTTCTATTGCTAATGTAAACTCTCAAATTCTCGCTGAAATCCATAAATTCCCCTTTTCCATTCAAAAACTTCTTGCAGAAAATGTACATGCTGTTTCTAAAAGATTATAAAAGAAGAAAGAAGTATCATAACTCAAATTATGAAATGTGATTATATTTTTTCAATCATTATACACTATCATGTTGCCATATCTTTCACAAGCAACTTCGTAGTAATATTAATATTCTAACATCTGAATATAGAAAAGTTTTCAGGAAATCTTTGTGAAAAATAGATTGGAGGTATATCAGTCATGCAGTTTAATAGAGATATTCCAATCTTACTTAGAAACTTGCTCAAAAAAATTAATTAATAATGAATAAGTTGTTTAAAAAGGTGAGAAATCGATATTATGATTTGGTGAATCAAGATAATAAGAAGGAATTGACAAGATTTATTGAAAACTTAGGAATGGCTTTGGAGTCTGTTCTTGAGTAGATGTATTTTTTTTGTTTTGGCATTTTTATTGAATGATTTTATATTATTCTTTATATAACATATAATATTAATATTCCAGAGCAATAAAATCATAAGCGTATAAATAAGCAAACTTATCAACAACATCCTGTGTTTCTCTCCCTAATGCTTTTATATATGAACTTTTCAATAATAATAACAATAACAATAAGTAATTAATGGATTCACATTTAGACGATATTCACACGAACTTTCAATAATGAAGTATGGAAAACAATAGAGCTTTTAATAATAATACTCGGGACTAAAAATTATTGAAACTTTTTAAGCTCGGGTCTTTATTGACCAATCAAATCGTTCAAATCGTTTAATTCAAAACAAACAAAACGTGATGTAATCGTTTATTCAAAATAAATAAAACGTGATGTAATCGTGTGGCGGATGTGTGGCTAAACCGGCTAAACGGCTTGCCTTGCTTTAAGGAACCCCTTTCTTTAAACATCAAAAAATTAATCGATCTGCAATATCTCGACATTCAGTGATCAGGTTCAAACAAAATATTGCCATTTGATTCATCTCAGCTAGATGAATTGTACCACTCGATATTAAAATATACGCCATAAAGTGGCCGATTGTATTTGAGGGGTGGACGTTTAATGAACATCCAAATGCCCGATATAGAAGTTTACCAGTCTATAAAATTGTGGATGATTATCATATTGTTCTTTGTGCTCAGAAAATTTTTGATGCATAATATATGAACTACGGAAAGTTTGGAGGGGTCGATCACTTCTGTGAAGTACTGTATATTTTAATATAAACTGCAGCACTCCATTAACAACCATAGCTGTATACATAGCACATTGTTACATCTATCCTATCTATTGGATTTCAAAGATGGACAGATTTAACACAATGTGGAAGATTGGATTGAAGATTCTTCGGTGTAAAGGTCCCTTTAGGTGGATATCTAAAAGTATTGTGCCAGTAACTATGGTTACTGTTGATGTTAAAGGTGAGTGTTTTATTTAATAAAGAGAATTATTTGGAAAGGGCAAAGGGACTAATAAAGAAAATTGTGAAATAATAAATTTCTTTACGAATCACGAGAAGCAACATTGAATAAAGTATCTTTACAGTTAGACTATCCTATAAGAGGAATCAAAACATAAAAAATTTCCTCTGATAAAGACGACAAAATCCGAAGTTTAATAATACAAGCAAGATGTAATGCTTTTCAATTATTATAAATTGGCTTGATTAAAGTCTCAAGAGCTATACAACGGCAATTTGGTACATGTTTGGTCTATGTGCCTGTTTATGTTTTGGGCTATTGGGTAAAGAACTGTACTAGAAATTATACGTTCCATTGTTACTGTGGTAGTATTAAATTCTTCGATCTCACTATAATTCCCTAATGCCTTATCAGCATGAACGAGCCACAATCCACAGTATGTTTTGCTTGTTAACCTTTGCCCTGCCTTTTGCTTGTACATAAACTACATTCTTTTTATTATCATCCAAAATGTTTTTTAATTTCTAACTAATGTACATTACCAAAATTAAACCTTAAGATGAATCATTATGATTGATTATAAAAAACAAAGACAATATACATGCATGTATATTGATTTAGAATTTTATTATTACAGACCCTTAAAATTTTTAATAATTGACATTTAATCCTTATGATTAGAATAGCAATCCTTGTGATTAAACAATTATTTTGTTTAGTAATTTTGTTCGTTGTCAAAGTATTAACAATTTAAAATATTGTAGTAATTAGATAGTAAAAATGAATCTAAGTGCAATAAACTCACCATCCGATTCCCTAGGTTTGATAAAGCTAATGGTGGATTTTACACTTGATTCTCACCACTGGGGTCTCGAGCTATTTAAGTATGATATTAAGTATGATATGTATAATTTGTTCATACCATATTGAAATGTTATTGTATAAATGTAGTATTTGAGTAGGTATGGCATGGTTTTTTGTATTTTGATATTTAATATATTCAACCATATTATGCCAACGTGATCATTCATATCATATTTAAATAGTCTATAATCATTTCATATTCATAGGATGATAAAAAACAGAGGGAAGTGAAATAGGCGTGGAGGCATTTGAAATGGTTGAAGTTTTGTTTCTAACCGGGTTTCTTCCAAGGCCAAATGATGCTTGCAATGGAATTGGAGTTGCCAAAGGATTTTGAATTTCTGCTCGAATGCTATCATGATCTTTTTTTGATTTCGCGCCATCTTTGATTTCCTCTTCGATCAACTTCGGCTTTGATTGCGATGGATTTACATTTGAAACCATTTTGTGATATGTGAAAGCGATAAATGCTCGTATGAATTATTGGGATTAGAGTAGAATAGCTTGTTATCGAATTTTGGTATGCTTAAAAAGTCTGTATTTTGACGATACATAGGGAATAAATTTAATATCGAAGATAAGAAAATAAGATTATTATAATGAAACCAAAAGACAAACGCTCGATAACATTCGATGATTATGGTCCGCTCACAGATGTATGCAAACAATTAAGTATTGATTTAATTTTCTTTTTAAATTTCAACATGGGGAAGAATTTGAAATAAAATATGTTTTCAGTATGACTAAAGCATTAGAAACATATGTTGAATTAAAAGTCATTTTTATCTAGTATATAGAATATACATAATACATGTATATTACCGGTCAGGTTGGGGGACCTTATACATGTACATGTAACATGAACAGTCATTCTAGCCTTGAATGTGCCTTAACAAATCATTTTAATCTTGAATGTGGCATAACGAACGAATCATTTCAGCTTAGGAAAGGTGTGGCTTAAGAAAATAAGGCGCAGTTGTCCAAAAATAGTAAAAAATTAATGTTAATTAATACAAGAATTTAGTGCGATTCATGGATTTAGTAAAGATCCTTTATACGTTATCGTTATTGGACATTATTAAAAAATATTTTTTAATTCTTTGTTACATAGAGGTACAGAAAATTACTCTAGCGCCAGAAATTTTCGTAATCACGAGATCTTATGTTGCAACGTTTTTCGGGAATTAATATTTCGTGATTGATTTTGTCCAATCAACGATGAGGTTTTCCATTGAAATTCGGGAAAGTTAATAAAAATGCAAATAAGTCATCGGACGGATTTTTTGATATAAAAATTTCCTCATAGATATTAACTTTACATAGTCTTGTTGACCCCATTTTGATATCGCTACCAACAATAACCACCAAGTTGTTTGTACTTTGCGCATATACAACAAATTGCCTGTGCTTGATATTAACGAGGATTGCCTATATTTTTTATTAAAAACTAGGGATCCACATAATCTTTTCAATAATAGCAATTATTTGCCATTTTTTTTCTAGTTTTCTTTTTTATTTTACTTCCAAAATGATAAAGCAGAAAAGTCACTTCTAATTATATAGTTATATATACAGTTATGCGAAAAACTATCGCTATGCAATAAATTAATTATAATGCTAAATTATCGTTATTATTAAAAACGTAAATGCCCACATTAAAGAAAATGTTATAAAAAGTACAGTTGTTCAACGCAGAGTTCGTGATCTACACTGTCTTCTGTGTTGAATTACTCGATGTGCTCACAATTACACGGTATCGTTTGTTTTCTGTCCTTGTTGTTTTTTCTGCTTTTGTTGGTCTTTGGTAACTACAAGATCCTCAAAATCACCAACGTCCACAATAAAATCTCGAAATAAAATCTCGGTTGCATATGATCGTCTTTCCAACAAGTTAATGTGGCTTATCAATTTATTAATGAGTTCAATACTGATTTGCCCGGAGTTGCCATGATTGGAACCAACCATATCGATATTATTTGGTTCGTTATTTCTTGTACTTGAAATCTCACCGGATCTCAATTTACTTTCAAGATTTTTAAGTTCATCGATGTCTATATCGTCGATTAACGGTAAAGCTTCAATTTTATTGAACGTTTCTCGTAACTTTCTCTTCATTTGACCTCTGATAAAAGGCAGTTCTTGAGCCCATCCGAAGGGAGATATTTGCGACGCACCTTTTAATTGAAAATTTGAGAAATTCTCTCAATAAACCATGATAACAATCTTGCATTTATATAACCATATATGCACTTACCAAAACAAAATGCATAGATTGCTACTCCTAAACTAAATGCACCACCAATAGAACTTAATAAGCCAAGAACTGTTTTATCTCTATATATGTTGATAGCAAGAATGCGTAAGAAGAAAGCTCAACAAACAAGAAGCAAACGTTTATAACATGAAAACTTTTACGCACTTTGTCTCCTCGTTTACTATCATCACTCGCGTCTGATAATAGAATTCAATGGTCGCATACGGATCAAACTTGGTTGCATTATCTGGACTAACGACATCTTATTTCGAAAAAGTCTATATGTTATTAATTTCATAAAAGCATAAGCTAAATAACAAAATCCTCATATAATTACCCATAGAAGATGAAATAACAAAATAGTCATTCGTTTTTGTGAGGATGCCAGCTCGATTAAAAACTCCAATCTTATTAAGATCTTTGTTTTGTGACCTTTCGAACCACACGATATGTTTCTGTATAGTTTTTTGAGTCATTATATTTAGCATTTATTCGAATTTTTCAAAATTAATAAATAGATATTGATGATATACCTGACCCGGCGAAACAAAATGCACATTTTCTAATTTGAACGCTTCTTCCACCACATCAACTGAATTAGGATCTTCCTGAGAGAAGTTCGCTTTGTAAAATTCTTATAAAAAGAAGAAATATTTCTTTTAGAATTGAATAAAATCGTGGGAAAGTGCAAAAAAAATAAATTAGAAAATGTACCTGAATCATCAATTTTAACCCACATATTCGTATTCCAGATAGAATTTGTTTGATTATTCAAGGTGTTGCTAGAATTTTTGCTTCGATACACTTCCACTATTATTCCAAAAATTTTATTAGGGCCAAATTGTACGCCAACGTCCGAATTATTTGAGAGTTGAGCCGGGTTCCATGAGGCAGCTTTTCCCGGCTTAATTGTAGTCAAGTTATTATCAAAGTAATCTTGACACAAATTATTTCCGTTAGCGACTTGAGTATCTTAAAGTTGAAAAAATTGTTAATGTTTATTTATAAAAGATTTGTTTTGTCAATGAAATTTGGTTTCATTTTAAATCAATACCTGCTCTAACAAAATTGCAACTTAGCGTAAAATCGAATGGAGCCGAAAAGTGCAGGTCTAGAATGAAGAACAAATAGGCAATGAATTAGCATGCTTATTCATGAACAACTGTTAAAACGATTATAATATTTAAAAAAATTTACATGGCGCAGGTATCGTTTGTGATAAATCTTTGTATGTCTGAAGGTGTGGATTCTCGTTTTTAATATCGAATGATAGAATCACAAGGTAGAAAAGACAAACAGCATACACCGTACACATAAAAAGTAACTTTATCCCATAGACAGTTTTGGATTCAGTTTCGGGTCTGTATGGAACAATCTCGAAAATTTTTTTAAAAATTCGTCGAAATTTACATTTCACTTTTTCATTGGCTCTCATCAAAGACGATGCCCTAACCTTAATCTTTTTCATTTTGTACTATTATTTTTTAATTTGGTCTAAGTTATATAAATGGATATAACAATGCTTGTCGAGATAAAAAAATTCTATTGAAAAGTGTAATTTGAAAGCGTTTGATTTTCGCAACAAATTGAGGACATACAAGCTTCTTTTTTATATTTGAGGACAACGAATAATGCTACATTCATATAAGACAAAAGCAAAACTCATAACAATGACCTAAAATTTCCTTTTATAGTCGTATTAGGAAAATTTAAATATTAACGTTAATACACCTGTGCATGTAATGAACAAAGTCATGTATGTATGCGCAGATCTTTGATCTTCCTGAAAAAAAAGGAGAAACAATCGAAAGAAGTTAAATGCGCAGTGCGTATACATGTATTTGTTCTTTATTCATGTGCATGTTAAATAATATATGAACAGTGACAATGCAATAATATCGCTGTGAAAATTTAATTCCGATAATTTCGGACGAACATGATCATTTTATTTTTATAAATCAGCAAACTGAAACATAACCCCTGACTAATTAATAAACATTCATTGACAGGATACCAATTAAAATAAAGAATAAAATTCTAAATAAAACGCAAAACTTCCTTTCATGCAAAATTCGCCTGATTTAATCGTGAGGCGAACCATATTATATCAAATTCATTGCCACATATTAGTTTAGACTCACGATAATCACGAATCATTTAATAGAATTGAAAATTATCAACACTTTTCTTTTCAATATCATTGATAAATCTCGCGTGTTCGTGCAAATTGCCATTTGCATATCTAATTTTTAAAATGAGTGTCCTAGGATCAGGCGATTACTAGAAACCTCGAAATTATTTGTGTAATGATGAATGACGAAAAAGTTTTACATTTTAAGCATAGTTGTTATACTTTTATAATAAGTCTAAAAATTAAGTATAAAGAATATTAACCGTATTATTTTATGTACATTGTTGTTGTGGGCTGGTATAATTTATGTTTGTAATACATAATTGATGATTGAACCATTGATATCGATGTACATGTAATAAGAATATTAAAAATTTCATGTTGATATGGCTTATCAAGAATAAGAAACTTTATATTTGCTTGATAATGAATTTTTATGATTAAAACAAACGCAAATTTTTTGACTAAATTTGACAGAGCATAAATCAAACGGTTCTTAATAAACTTCCAATTGTTGAAATCCTTTTGACTAGTGAATATTGAGTTTCAACTTTTGACAGAGAAACTCTGCGTCTAAAACCTCTCTACGTAAAATTAGTGCTCGATTGCATGATTACGTATGGTTCTTTTTTTATATAAATAATAATAATATGTCACATTTCTTTTTATTAATTTTTTGCGGGTATATTTTTGAAATTTAGAAAAGATACAAATCACATATATGTGAGATTTCACTGAAGTTAACCAGTTATTTGAGTAAAAAAATAATCATTTGTTAATTATCCAACTTTTGTTCCCTTTGTGTATGTTGTACAAATAAACTGGCCCATTTTAAAACATTTAACATTTATCGTTATTGAACAATGCATATCGGATCTACATAATCTACATGCCTCTCTATAACGACCGACATTTTGATAATTTTATATTCAAAAACAAAAATGGCTCATATAAATTCATCTCTCTATAACGACATTATTAATGATTCCCTATAGTGACAACGAAATTTATGGTGTCGTTATAGAGGTTGACGTGTAAATGATCTTTCACGTGATTAATCACGCGTCAAACTTAATTGGCTAAATACATATACATGTATTAAATAGCAATAGGACAATTGCGGGCGTGACTAAAGCGGGAGGCGATATAAGTTTTGTTGACTTGAAGTGATAGCTATTGCCTTGATATTTTATTATTTGTTGACAAGAAGTCATACAGATCTAATTTAAAGTATTTTGTTAGATATTCCTCTTTATTAAATAAAAATGCTTTATCTTTCTCATTTGTAAATGCTGGATCACTTTTGATAATTTTATAATTGGCACAAGGAAGCCTTTAAAACAAATTAAACTAGATTTTGAGTTGTAGATAATTCAGGTTTACTTTCAACTCCTTGTTATAATACTTGTATGCTATTACACACATACTGCGATAATATGGAAATCCATGTTGTTCAGCATCGATTTATTTTGCGCCACAATATTTGTGCTTGACGCATATTTTACCAAGTAATCCCCAGTTCTGGATACTTAGCCTTAATTCTGTTGTTAAATCGGTTGATATGGTGTCGTATTAATTCAGTTTTTTATATTGGTCACAAAGTTGAACTGGTTTCAATTGAAAGAGTTTAGCAGCCTTGCCGTTATTGTTTTTAAGCATCTGTACAACTGCTAACTTTTCATGAGTGTTCCGACTCAGATGTTGTATGGTAAGAACAAAAAAGCACATTAATATTTTTATTTGCCAAAGGTCTCATTATAACTTTAACCGTTAAAAAATTTTCTTCATGGTGGATTTACTATTATTGCTATGTCAATTATTATTACTAAAAGCAAAACTTCGTTGTTTCTTTATATACACGTACATGTAAAAAAATGTTGGCAGAATTTCACTTAAAGCAAAATACGTTATAAAAATAATTCTAAGTCACATAACAATAGAATTGTTCCTTTATATTACATAACGTTTAACATACACAGAATCAACTTGCATAGAAGTTCAATAGTAATAACGATAGCAATACAAAAATATCGCAACGTTAATACATGTAATCATTAAATGTACATATATGCCAGCATCAAAAAAACTGCATTAAAAGTTTTTTGTGCACACATCATTCAAGCAATTTATATATCGTTATAAACGCGTTTGATAAAGTGAACCCAAGATGGAATCAAATGCTCCTCATTGTAATAAATTACTAAAATGTCGATACTGCGATGTGTATTTAGTCACAATACTCGTGATTGTGATAAATGTTACTCTTGACAAGAAAATAGGTACTGCATAAAATGGTTCAAATATCGCGAACGAATTTATAACGATAAATTAATAAAATATCGATAATCTAATAAAAGAATCAAACAAAATTATTGATGATAAATATAAATTTTTCGAATGGATTTCTTTTGAAAGATTTACCAACGTTGAATATCTTGTAAAAGGAGGTTTCGGTCAATTTATAATGCAACCTGGTTGGATGGACCATTTGGATAGGTATTCCACATGGGATCATAAATCTAAACGACAGGAGAACATGAGGTTGTGTTGAATCATTACATAATTCAAGCAAATTACTCGAGAGTTTTTTCTAAAGTAAGAGTTTGCTTTTATTTGTTGATATAAACAAAAATAGATTCAGCTTGCTCTACGATATTACTATGAATTATTATGGAATAACTAAAAACTCAACTACATGTACAAACGAATACTCTATAGTAATGGATTGTGCAGAAGAAGATAGTGATCGTCGTAAATATATTAATTCCAAAATTTAACTTGGAATAAAAAAATTAGAATATTTATCTGATATTTTATCTATTGTCTAAAAATGATTCACGAGGAGAAATTAGTAAATCGTGATTTAGATCCTGGAAATATATTAATTAGCGAAACTTCTATCATTGCTGATTTTGGACTCTGCTTTTCAGCAAATATAGAAAATTAAATAAAGAAATTTTATGGAGTACTTCCTTATACAGTATGAGTTCAGAGGTACTGTTGCGCGCTCTTCGTGGATAGTGGAATTGAGGTGAGTGTTAACAAGGCGAGATTGAGAGCAAGACTGAATGATTTTCAAGTAACCGCAAATTGAATGGTTTTCATTTTTAAACATGTGAAGAAATTAAAGGATAAACGGTCAAAATTATATAAAATTAAAGAAAAGCATCAATGAAAAATAATGTGACACTAATTTGCAGGATAAAATTTTTAATATGAATGAACGTATAAAGATTCAGTAGAAATGCATTATACCATTTTTTGTTCTTAGAATTCGATATCGATATTGGTGTTCCAAATAAAATTACGTGTAGTAAAAATGCGGCAAAAATATGCAGAAAACGGTATGATAAATGCATTTACCGATTCGATATAACAATTTGCAGATCTCAATTGTCTATACCGATACCGTGTACTGTAGGAAACTTTAAAAGATGTTCTTTTATCTTTAATCTATCACCGTTCCAGGTTACGCCGAACCCAGAAAAATTCGAAATAAACATTATTAAGATCAGGGTGTAAAGTTATCTTCCCGTCATTTTTTACTAATGGATTTAAGCATTTTCACTAGATTGTTTTGTCGGGTTGATCAAAAATTACACTTTTATTGGTTTGTGCCATGCGTGCCACTTACTCTAAACAACATATTCGGCGTAACAGTGGCTTAACCTGGTACACAATATGATATAAATATATTATGCCCTAATATAACGATAAAGATTAGAAATGTGTAAAGACAGAGATCGGAAAAACGGGAAATCCCTTTTGATTAATCAACTCAATATATTCAATTCTATGCTCTTTTGATATAATTAAAAAACCAATTTCATAAGATAAAAATAGTTATCAGTTTCTTTTAAAACGAGGTGTGCCTTTGATAATGTCATATTTATTGGAAGTGTTTCATCATAAATTTGTATCTTCTTAAAAAAGTTTGATATCTTTGAATTTTTATCGCCACAAAAGAAAATGAGTTTTTGAAATAATCTTACATAGTGACTTACCTTCGTTTGGAAATATAATTAACGTCTGGCAAACCTGCATATTCGGTATGATTTCAATTAATATGAAAATCCATATTAAATATATGCACCTTTATCGGTTGAAAAATTTCGATTACTGTAAATTGCATTTAAATGAATTTGTTGATTTTTCACGCATTTTTTGCGGTTCTGTTTTAATTATAAAATTCAAAACATTGAATAATTTCTTCATTTATTTTAGTATATTCTAAAGAATTATATTACTGAAAATATAAAGCATTCAGTCTAGCTGATAAACGAATAAGTCTGACAAAGTTTTCTCAACATTTAGCTTCAGCGTATTATTTTCCATTTAGGACCTCTGGACTCATATAAGAAAATATTCCATAAATTTTCTTGGATAGATTTTTCTATATTTGTGTCCATGTTCCACATTAATATATTCCAGGATGAAGTCACAATGCACAAACTTCCGTGCGTGAATAATTCTCAGATTATTATATAATTATTTTAATTTGCCAACAAGTCAATTTGAATTAATATCGAAAATCTCCATCTCCGTATAAGTCATTACTATTGAGTATTCATTTGTAACTGAAATACACTCTTAAAATGTTCGTTTTTACCACGTTTCTAAATTCCGAAGTAATTTGTGTAAACAATTGCAGTATAACTACTTCTCTTTCTTCATGATTCCATTTGGGCAATAATCCATCCAGCCAGTTACTTTATAAATTGGCCCAAAACCTCCTTTTGCAAGATATTCATCGTTGGTAAATCTTCCAAAAGGAATCCATTCAAAGCTTTTTCATAAATTTTGTTTGCATCTTTTATTAAATTATTGATATCTTTATCTCATTTTGACCATTTAAATTTATAAATTATGAAACCTTTTCTGCAGTACTCATCTATTGACAAACTTAGTTTTTACGTCATCGATATTTGTAATACATGTATCATCATTATCTTTACTACAATGATCGCACATTGAATATTTGGATGTTCATTATTAATATCAAAAATACGTGTAATCATCCTTCAACGTCAATATATCAATGATAATAATACCATTCGCTTGCCGTTCTCTATTGATCTACTGATACACGTCATGAAACCATTTAATAATGCGTTAAGAAACGTATGTTTATCGTCAAAATTTATTATGACATGATTAAGCATCACTCCCTAATCAATGTGACAAATTAAATGCACCTAGATTAAATGAAATCATAACTTTTTTAAAAAGATTAAACAAAATTTGCGCGTTTTTTGAGGGTATAATATTAAATTTATATTAAGCTGACCTGTGATTATTTAAATATCATACCCTGTTTCGTTTTCATTTCAATCTGCGACAATCAACTCACTATCATTATGATTAACATATCCGATATGTGCATTTTGTATATAAAGTGTATTGCGCCCATACCGTAATAAATTTTGTTTTAAAGGAAAAAGCATGTTTATTATTTATTCTTAGTCTTAGTTAACATTAAATAGTTTAAAGTTATTGTAGAGAACATCAATGCCGGCGAGGTTAGCGTTATTTTGAGGTGGATGGTTATAATACGCACGCGTTTGTTACGCTTTTTGATATCAACGATGAGCATCCTAACACTCACAATATTTGCAAGTGAAGGGTAAGTAGAAACGAACATTTTGTGGTGTTAACAGAGTTTGATGATACAGCTTAACGCATCTGATAAATTATATTTGAAGCTTATCTTGGTTATTGCTTTAAAAGTATTACAGCTGTTAAATGTTTCGCCTAAGCGTACGATTAAGTCATAAGTTCGTTGTATATCTGCTTGACCAGTAAGGTTGATTAATCCACAGGGCACAAGTTACTTTTATTAGAGAATTAACATGTAGTATCAATTAAATATCTTAATTATTTTCCAAGTCAGTTCTTCGTAATTTGAAGTAGTACATTTTTGGTTTTTAGTATATCATAATAACTTGGCCCAAAGATCACTTTGAAGTATTAGATCATTTGAATTTACATGTATGTTTTTCATGATCCGATTTGCGAATTAATCCAGATTGCTTTATACAGTAAAATTACCCTTTTGCAAGATACTGTATTCAACCTTGATAAATCTTATTCCACTCGAAAAAATTAGCTTATGCATATTTCTAAATTAGCTTGTGACATTTAAGGGGGGATAATCTATTACTATTCGATAAACAAATTAGCGTTTTAGGTATTACATGAGTTTAAATTTCGTGTAATATAATATCCATATACAGTCGGATCAGACCTCCATAAAAGAACGCGATCGGGACAACTAATTTTTATTCTATCATAGAGGTTGTTCTTAATACAGAAATAATTTTAATTTCTTGGTTCTCAAAGATATGTCCTTATATAAAGGTTGTTCTTTTATGGAGTTCTGACTGTATAATTTATATTAGATAACACGCATTCGGAAACTCTTTGATTGAATCGCGCGGATTTATCAATTGAAAAAATGAAACAAATATCGATTTCAAACATTGTGCATATACATGTACATGTACATGTAACATGTATGTCAAAAAACTGCACTCGAAATTGTACATAAATACGAAACAAGTCTTGCCACAGGATGAATAATAATACATGTATATGCACTTACATCGGCACTTGCAATAACAATTTTAATCAGCGCTCACACTAAAAAGGAAAAAGGCTCGAAGGATACAGTCAGCAACTACAAAATTATACACACAATCCCCAATCTTATATACTTTCTAAGCGAATTGCGTTATTCCATTGACATTATAACAAACCTGCAAACCAAAAGAAAACCTCAACGGAGAATAGTAGACCAACGAATACAGAAACGAACAAAAAGAAAATTCTTTGTTAGTAAATTTACACTTTTTGAGAGCATAGTGCAGGGACGAAAAGCAAACAAATTTCGAGAATCTTATGAAAATAACTTGGAAAAGCCTTGAACAGCGTCTGATAAACGGAAATATAAAAAGATTACTTGATTAGCAATACAATATTAAAAAGAAGAAAATCCCTCGTAAAAAAAAGATTAAGAATAAAAATAAGTGTGATCTTCAGTTACGAGAAAAATCATTGAAACGAGATTTGAAATAAATCGATATCGATATATAATGACAACTGGAAAACCAGTAAGAATGCCGGTAACATTCCCAAAACCAGTAAAACTTCCATCACATTTAACATTCAACGGAGATCCAGACAAATATCCTGAATGGAGAGCTAAAGTCATATCGCTAATAACAGCAACATGGGGAGAAGCATCGTTCTTTGGATACTTCACCGGCAATGAAAACGAAGGATATACCTTTCGAGCGGTAACTTACGATGACGGACTTTGGAACGTCGTCGCAATGAAAAAGCAGATCGCGCAAATAATGATTATGATGGTAGAAGAAGCGTCAAAGTGGGTATCAATGTGGGTGCACAGCTTCGATACAGAATTCAACTGTTTCTTTTTACCGACACACGAAGGACCAACAACGGGTATTCATGGGTATCCTAATAGGGGATACAATATCACCAGAAAATGGAACAATAATAAAGGAGCACCAGGCATGAATAACACGGTAGTTCCTGTATCATTTATAACCGAATGCGACAAACATTTTATCAAAATAAGTCTAACCGACTATCAAATCAGCATCTATCAGATGAAATGGGAACCGAGTGAACAAACCATTGAAAGTTGGAAATCTGAATTGACCTTTCACATGACGCAAGCAGGAATGACATGGGAATTTCTTGCCGGCAAAAAAACGTTCATGACAAATCTGTTACCTCCAAATGTACAAAGATATCTTCTCTTGCAGGGAGAAATCGATACTGAAGAAAAGTTTTGGGACGCGTTAAAACGATGTGAACGATTATTCGGAACTATGACTTTTCAAACTCAAAATGACCGAAACATAAAAGAACAACGACGACCTCGAACTAATTTAATTGCCACAAATCTATGTTTTAAGTGCGGAAAGGAAGGACATTTTGCTCGAGAATGCCCTAAAAAAAACAGCATGCTCTAAATCAGAAAAAGAAATCGAAAAAGCACAATAAAACTGCTTCAATTGTGGGATAAACGCCAAAAACAAAACCATCAGAAAATATAACGCGATTATAGTAATATTGAATATACATGTAAATAGTATCTAAAGTAGCTAGACATGTGGGGGAATGATGCTGTAACACACGTATAATTAATAAAGTAAATAAAGGAATAATATTGAAATAAATGGCAAACATGCATCCAATATAGAAAGTATCAATGTGTCCCAGCTGCATTTATTATATTCGATTAGCATTTGACAATCGTAAAACACATCAAAACAACACTTTATTTTCTCTCTCTTTATTTTATGATTAAAGAGCAAGTTAACTTGACAAACATTAAATAATAAAGTTAAAGCCTACGTTATGTAATTTATGCTTTCACAAATGGTTTATTCAAGACTTTTAGAATTTAGTCCATCTCAACTTTAAACACAAGCAATTCAGATATTTATATAATAGCAACTACTACCAAACGAAATATACTAGTTTTGTTTTTAATAATGCCAATTATCTGTTAACAAAATGAATAATACATTTTCTCTCATGATCACATAAAGATAACGATAACGATAATATATTTCTCGATCAACAACGCACGCAAAATACTGATCGATATACAGTAAAAAAATATTTCAGCGGCATATTCCAAGCATCAAGATACTAAAGTAGCTAATTCAGCGTCTGACCGTCAAGATACCCAAATAAATCTTGAAGAATTTCATGATATTATAAATAAATGTATAGTTCTGAGAATTGATCTTTCAGGTTTTTTTATTCTCAATAATAATTACAATATTAAATATTCATAAAATATTAATTAATAACTCTTGGATTTTTAAGCAACAGTATCCCTACAATCACAAACCATATTAACATTAGAAGCCAAGTGTTTAATGACGATGATGATATCGTTATTTTAATTCATTTTGAATATTCATTAAATAAATAATAGAAACAGTTTTATTTAATATACGTAAATAAAATTTTCAGAATTTGATGCTCAACTGTAATTGTTTTTATTGATTTTTTCAATTTTCGATGCTATTAAATAAATGCATTGCTATGTAAGCACATTATAACTCGTTCACCAGACAATCACATTTTAATTTGGGCAAGACAATCATATCATAATCAAATGGGATAGCGTCATTATTGTTATGCTAACGCTAAGGTACATTAATAAATCGAGGGAATTATTTTCTAAAAAAGAACATACATAGATCTTTAAGATAATCTTTTGGTTGTGATAAGAAGGTACATGTATTTATCATTTCATCTGTAACTAATTTTAGTTATTATCAGCGCATTTAAGAACAGTCTTAATCTATTTTTGAAAAAATTTAGAAGCAAAAAATAACTTTCATTTTGGAAATATACATTTTTATCTCCTATATAAACTCTGGAAATTAATTTGCTTTGAATTGTGTAATGATTTCAATATAACTTTTCTTTATTCATATTGTCTTCTTCATGATCCTATTCCAGTTAATGGTCCATCCAACGCTTTATAAATTGTCCCAAACCCTCCTTTTGCAAGATATTTTAACTATTCTATTATACTTTAATTCAATAATAAATGAAGCATTACCTTACTAAAAAAACTAAAATAAAATTAATATTTTTTAAAAAAAGATATTTTATATATTATCACTATTAATTTGCAATATTAGAACTTTAAATTATGCAAACAGGTTGTTTTAGATTTGATAAATATATATTTTAAATTTCATAAAAATTGAATTAGTAGTTATAAAGATATTAAGATTCAAAGTTGAGTAATTAAATTATTTATTATAT